CACGGCCCATACTAACACTCAAACCCAGCCCACTCCCTCCCCCGAAACAGCCCCCCCTCCCCAACCCACACATCCCATGTAACGCCCTAGAAACCGGCTTAGAAGTTAATCAATAATTAAATAAATAAGAATTATTTATCTATGATAATTTATTATTTTAAAGAATTAAAAGATAATTTAGAGATTTTAAATGTCTCAATATAACAAAACTAATCTGATGATAATTGTAAAGATTTAAATTAAAAGACTGATCGGTATTAATTAATCGAAGGAATTAAGACGGAACAAGTGCGACTTGTAAATACTTTTTGATTAATTATAAAAGTTATATCATTGGGTAGGGATCGATGAGTCGAATCCAACGACGCGAACGGATCTCAATTCGGAGTAAGTTGGCTTGAAAAGTGTGTTTTTACTCGGACATGTTATTTTTAAACTTCAGGGTACAAAACCGTAGGCTGTTACGTGCTCCTTCTTCGATTCAACGCCGCCACCTATCTTCTTCTTCTTCTTTGACTGAACGGCGCAGCGACAGAGGAGACCCACAAATCGTCGACATTGATGCCTCGGCATCTTCGGCAATTGGCGTGAGATGGGTCAGCGTCATCCCTACGGCTCTCCTCCCTGATGGCTTTCGGCGATTGGAGTCTCGGTGAGAGAAGTAGTGACGCCGACGACGGACTGCAGAGGCGCAACGACCAGCCGGCGAACTAGCGACGGCACCCAGGCTACAGACTGACGATGACGTCTGGACAGAAACTCTGGCGAAACAGCGGGGAACTTCGGCGAGGGCTATTCTCTGTTCCAGCGAACCAGGAAGCTCCGGCGATTCCCTCTGTTCGGGTGACTGGTTCGAGCAGCAGCGATGGCGCGGGTCCCCTTTGCTCTAGTGACCTTCGGGGATGGCCAAGACGAATTGGGCAGCGACAGTGCACGTACTCCGTCAACGATTATTGGACAATGCTTTCCTTGAATTTCAATTGAGCAAACGAGGTGAGTACGTGGACATCTAACACTATAATATGCATCTAGGTTTGAAATTCTGTTCATAATTATTATCGTGGTTGATCTATTTGATTTATCCTTATAATTGTTGACTGTGGTTTTGGGAATTGTTGCCATTGAATCGAAAAGGGTAAAATGCATGACTTAGGCATTGATGGTCTTGTTAAGGTGCTCGATAATGTTTAGGACATTAATATGAACATATTGGTGTTGTTGTTATGAGAATTGTTATTGGTTGATGCTCTGTTGATCTGTGTCTTTGTCTAAGATTGATTCTGAGATTCCATGTGAGCATGACGGTAATCATGGGCCTTTGGTTCTGATAGGCCGCTATTTGATATGTTGCTGAATAATGAATTGAGATTTGAACTAAATTAATCTCATTGGTGATTATTGTGAATTGTGAATAATATTGGAAATAGGCCACCTAGTTTAATTAGGCGGACCC